TCCACAGTACCCAACACTGAGACTTGGTGGGACATGGATATTGATGAAGGCTATTGTCTAACTCTGAGGGCACTTGCTTTCCCTATCTATGCATTACCTACTCTATTTGCCCTTTAGTACTGTCATAGGTTTACTGATTATACCTTGAATATCTTTGGTGGTCAAGGTCACTGACAGATCCACTAAAATGCTTTCCTTCCATTTCTACATATTTTATTTTTAACCCAAACATGTAATGAATAATTTGTAGTGTGCTCTATTGAAGTTTGAAAAAAAATCCAAGGTCATACGGCAAAACAATTAATCAGAGATTATTGAATGAGTTACTTAATCATGCCTATGCTTTTGATTTTCCTTAAATCTTCCTCTAAATTGTTTATTCTTTCAGAAATGTTATGCTAATGTTAGTTAACATGCTTAGCTGCTTAAATGTGATTTGGTGCTTTGAGGTTCTAGGTAATATATATTTGAATGTAAATGCTTGCTAATTTTTGACTAACTTAGCTTGCAGAAAGTCTGGCATTTCAGATAATGAGGCCATAAAGCAGACCACTAACGGGGTAGGCACAGATGCTATCTCAACCACAGGCATTTGAGTACTTTTCTCCCAAGTAATAGTAAATATCTCAGGACAACATAACAGTACCACATTCTATTCCACCCCCTGGACAGACATGAACACATCTGTCCCCTGACAACTAGGCTATTCTAGGCAGAAACTCCATCTTATATTTGTTTATACTCCCAATGACACTTAATGTGCCATGCAAAAAAAAATTATTAGTGCCTTTTAATACCTACTTTATTTTATGGCCTGAGTAAATTGTTGAGTTTATAGGCAACTTGAGTCAAGTGTTTACCAGAACCAGAAGGGAGTCCATTAATGCCCAGGTCTCATGTCAGCATGGACAACCTCAGGAACTCAGCCAAGAAAGTTCCATGCACACAGATCCCCTGGTGTATCCCCATCCTAGAATGTGTAGCACCTGCACCTTGGTTGCCTCCCCAGCAAGGCTGTCAGGACTGTGGCACCTTTTCCATGACAGGCAGCCTGTGAAGCCTATTCAAAGAGTGCCACCTGCAGGACGAACTGAGGACTCCTGAATACTTCATCTTCAAACCATTTGAAGAATATGTTTAAAATGTATTTGAAAGCTATTAACATTTTAAGGTAGAGATGAATGATGGATAATGGATTTCTGTGTTAATTCTTCACAGTTTATCATTTATGTCTATTTTAATAGCTACCTTAAACGTCTTCACCTCAGAGTGGCCAATCACAGGTAGCCCCATTATCTTAGAGTGGAGATGCATTTGTCCAGGGTCTTTATGGCCCCTCAATCTCTTCTCTAGGACAACGATTTCCTCCACTTGGTGGCTTGATTTCCCTGCAGAAGGGGAAACTTGTAGGAGCTCTAGCAGATGTGGTGGCTCTCTTCTTGCTCTGATTTAAGACATTTATTTGAACCTGAATACTAAGAATGGGTACTTAGAACCTCCTCTAAATATCAGCCTCAGGATGACAGAATTGCAACTGTCTAGAGTCATGCTCACAGCAAGCCTCCAGCCCCCTATTCCCCATGTGCAGTGTCCTTCCTTGCCACATCTCAGGAACAGCAATATTTAAGAAGAAACAAGAGTTTCCATACTCTGGCTTTTTATCATGGTCCTCCACCACTGATCCCATGACCCTCACCTAACTGAGAGCATGTGAAGCAAGTAAGAAAAAAAGAGCCCTTTCCTTCCAGATCAGTCCCATTCCCACTACATGGTAATCAGGTCACACAGAACCAAGTAGGTGTCAGCCAGATTGCTACCGACACCAAACTGCCATCAATGGGGTCTGAGCTGGATTCCTCATGTAGACCAACAATTCCTGATCACTCTCCCCAGAGTGAAAATTAAAGAACAAAACAGGGTTGATAAGTTTCTGGATCACAGGCTCTACGTCTGCTGGCCCATTCACAGGGCAATGCAATGACCTCAGTACTTCCACTTCCATTCTCCCTTTTCAGTCCACACTGTCTTCCCTTCCAGAAGACACAATCCTCCTAAAAGCATGGGATTCTTGGAAGTTAAAACTCTTTTCTCCCTCAAAAAGCATTCTGGACCCAGAGGCGGGGAGGTGGGGATGATATCCATGGACTACTTGTTAGCAGGATAAACAGAATGGTTGTAATGAACATCAAACAGGATGGTACAGCAGCAGCCCCACTCTTGCCATTCTTGCTCTTTGTCCTGCACATCCCACATGCAAACAGAGCCTTCAGAAATAAATTTTACACCCAGTTCCTACACCTCAATAAAATAGGACAGCATAGCATAAGGGTAAGAAGATGATTCTGGGGTCCAACAGACCCGGATAATCCCAGCAGAGCCACGGACAAGTTGAATGATGGGGCCACATTGAAGAACTTTCTGAGCCTCAGGGTTGTCTTCTGTAAAACAAGCTGGAACTATCATTCAGGGTTGGTGTGATGAAACTGTACCTCTCAAAAATTATTTCTTTAGTGTGAATTTAAGTTAATGTATCTTTGCTACAAAATGAAAGGTATTGGTCCTTATGAAAGGAATATCAAACGTCAATGAGAAGGTGGAGGAGGAGTCAGGAAAAAGGAAACTGGAGTGGCCACAGACTTGCTTGGTTTTAACAACACACAGAAATGATAGGCCCCTCACAGTTCTTTTCCCAAGACTGGCATTGCCAAGAGAACTGGGAGGGCTTTACCAGGTCAGGAGTACAGGTGGCTTGGGGTTATCCTTCTTAAGAAAAGGCTAAACCACAAGGCAGCCCAGAGGCAGGAGCACCCAAGCTCTGGGATAATTCTACTCCAATAAACTATTCCTAGTACCATAAGCCCCACTCTCAGCAGATAGGAACCTGAGATATAAGTGGAATCATACAACATCTGTCCTTTTGTGACTGGATTATTTCATTTAGCATAATGTCCTCAAAGTTCATCCACACTACACTGTGTATCAGAATTTCCTTACATTTTAAGGCTGAATGATACTATGTTGTGTGGATATGCCACATTTTATTTACCCACAACCACCATTGGACATTTGCATTGCTTCCACCTTTTGGCTATTATGTAAAATGCTGCTATGAAGCTCAATTCACAATAGCCAAACTATGGAACCAACCTAGATGCTCTTAAACAGATGAATGGATAAAGACAATGTGGTATATATACACAATGGAATATTACTGAGTCTTAAAGAAGAATGAAATTATGGCATTTATAGGTGAATGGGTGGAACTAGAGAATATCATGCTAAGCAAAATAAGTCAATCCCCAAAAAATCAAAGGTCAAAATGTTTTTTCTGATATGTGGATGCTAATTCACAATAAGGGATGGGAGGCTAGGGAAGAATAGAGGTACTTTGGATTAGGCAGAGGGGAGTAAAAGGAGGGGAGGGGGAAAGGGGGTAGGAAGGATAATAGAATTAATTGGACATTATTACCCTATGTGCATATGTGACTCCATAACCAGTATAATTCCACATCATATAAAACCAGAAGAATGAGAAGTTATACTCCATTTATGTACGATGTGTCAAAACATATTTTACTGTCATGTATAACTAATTAGAACAAATTTAAAAAATGCAGCTGTGAACATGGATGTATAAATATCTTTTTGAGCCCCTGATTTAATTTCTTTGGGGAATATACCAAGTGGAATTGATGGTCTTATGGTAATTCTACTTTTAATTTTTGAGGAACCTTTATATTGTTTTCTCCAGGAAATGCACTATTTTACATTCCCACCAACAATGCACAGGATTCCATATGGGGCCTATCCCCCCAGGTGGGAAAACACCCACATCCCCCGAGTTCAGGTCATTGCAGAGAGAGGCTCCTGTAGGGCCTCTCTCTTTTTAGCATATTCTTGTAGCTCCCCTGGAGTTGCAGTAATTCTTCACAGCTTCTCTGTTCTCCTTTGCTTCTTCTTAGGTCCTCTCTTTCTGAGCCCACAGCCTATGTCTGTCTGGGACTGGCAACCTCCCTGGATAAGGGCTGGGACTTTGCACAACAAAGAGTGGCACCCACACTGAGGGCTACCCCCTGGTGGGATCACAGCCAGTCCTGGATAAAGCCATGATGAGGCAAAACACAGCTTTGTCACCTCCTAGCTTCAGCAGCACCCACTCCTCAATCCCATACAGCTGCCCTCGCTATCCCAACACTTAAGAGTTTTATTTTCTACTACAATTAACCCCACCTGACAAAACAAGCAGACAGCATATTTCATCTTGAAGACGAAAATTTTTCAGGATCCATTTAGAAATCCCCCAACAGAGAAATAAAGAGTGAAGATAGGCCTGGGGCTATAGCTCAGTGGCAGAGCACTTGCCTAGCAAGTGTGAGACACTGGATTCCATCCTAAGCACCACATAAAAATAAATAAAATAAAGGCATTCTTTACATCTACAATAAAATATTTGAGGTGGAGACTCTGAAAAGAAAACCTGTTTTGTTATTCTAGCATTAGACAAATGATTGGGTCCTCTTATACCATATCTTTGCACAAGTTAGAAAACTGCTCTTTTGGGGTCACCTGCACAGCTCAGATAAAAGACTGAATGCTATATGAATTACAGACTAAATTTTGTGAAGTGATCCCAAGGCATAATGTCTGGGTACATTCTGCCCAGTGGCCAGCAATTCTTCCTCAGAGTCCTGGAAGGTACACATCTTTGCAAGCAGAGCCAGGGTGACTTTTAGCTCAGACTCACTGGCAGTGACCGTTAACAGCAGTAGCCCTGGATTGATGATGGTTCTAATAATGTTACCTGCCTGCCAACACCATCTTGTAGACAAGGCATTTTTAGATGATGCTGGCAGGAAAATTTTCTTTGAAGACCATAAACTTGGGGGTCTCTTTACCACTAACCTAGTGAGCTAGGAGAACACAAAGGCCTCATTGCACCAGGCTTAGTAGCCACAGGCTATCAAACCAACATGATCTCATCACACACACAAACATCTCACCTGAGCCACTTCTTCAAAGTCATCGTGTCTCTTCTGCAGGGCTCGAGCTCGATGGAGGGACTTCCCAACCCCAGTGTGTTTGCTGAGAAAGGCCTCACCATGGTTTTCAATCCAGTCCAACACCTGGCCAGAGAAGAAAACAGAAACAATGATTCCCAGAAAAAGGAAATAAATATAACAATACGTGCAACTGCTTCAGTCCTACCTACTCCCCATCCCTCAGCTTCAGCAAGAGCAGTCTGGTGGAAATGTTTAGCCCACTATGAACACAAGGGATTTCAGCAGTCATTGGCAATATAATGTCCTATGATTCTTATAGTAAGTATTGGAGACGCCATGTTCTTCCAGGCTTAAAAATCTAGTGATTTCAATAGCCAAGCTATGGAACCGAGATGCTCCACAACAGATGAACAGATAAGGAAAATGTGGTACATACACACAATGGAATATTAATCAGCCATAAAGAAGAATGAGATTATGGCATTTGCCAATAAATAGATGGAACTGGAGACTATCATGCCAAGTAAAATAAGCCAATCCCAAAGAATCAAAGGCCAAATGTTCTCTCTGATATGTGGATGCAAACATATAATAAGGGAGGGGGAGCAAAGAATATAAATTCATTGGATCAGGCACAGGGGAATGAAGGGAAAGGAGGGGAGATGGGAATGGGAAAGACAGTAGACTTAATAGGACATAACTTTCCTATGTTCATATATGAATACATGACCAGTGTAACTCTACATCATGTCCAACCATAAGAATGGGAAGTGATATTCCTGTATGTATAATACATCAAAACACACTCTACTATCATGTATATCTAAACATAACAAATAAAAAATTTATAAGTCTAGTGATTTGGTCCAAGGATACTAGTCTTAATGTATATAAAAATTGGAGCAGACGTGGCTGGGGCAGTAAAAGCACAAGTGAGGGGATAATGAGAAAGTGAGAAAATATGTTTCCGAGGGGCACTTGGGAGAGGGCTTGGAAACCCCTGAGTAAAGCCTTGAAATGCAGCAGGGACAAAGGTCTTTGCACTCTCTTTGTATTCTCACAGATGGCTTCACAAAAAATATGTATATCCCAGGGGGAAGGAAAGAAGTTCATTTCTGGTCTCTGAGGAGCTGGGCACTCAGTAAATCAGAATTATAGTATAGACACACCTGCCAGGATTCTGCCAACACTCAACCGAGCCCATTCTGCTCCCGCTGGCCATTAACTAAACATTTGATTAATGATGTAATGGACTTCTCAGAGTTTAGAAGGACTTTTTGGGAAGTGATTTAGATGAACTGTGTCTGTTAAAAAGGATGCTTCCATTGATTCCTGTTTCTTACACAGACTGCCCTGTGGCAAGCAGAGGTGGACCAAGTTGTTCCATGGCCTACAGGTATGGGAGTTCAGGCTCTACAGAATCCAGCCTTTGACTTCGCTTACTCTGGCATTTAGGTTAATCAATGTCTGAAATGTGCAAAGTACAGAGGTCTTCAAAGTCTTTAGTGACATCATCCCAAAGTCCATACCAACATACTGCAGTTCAGAGACAGATCTATGTAAATGTAAAAAATGAGGTTTAGGCAAGCATTCATGTAACAAAGATGAAAGGTCAGATAATTATCCACTATTATCCAAAATGGTTGTTTATCTAAACATTAGGTATGAATATTGTAAATACTTTATATAACATTCTGGTAATGTATTTTTTAAAATAATATATTGGATGCCCATCTGTAAAAAGTAATTATGATAATGCTGGTATTTCACCTTTTGCACACACTGTAAGCAGAATGGAAAGGAAATCTTGAGTGTTTCTTAGAAAAACCTACATTTCGTTAGAATTATTTCGTTAGAATTATAAGAGAGTATATTTTTACTTGGCCTGCCACAATTACATCTCATGATATTGTCTCATAAAGGGAATTAAAAGCTTTGGTATACAGGCCAATGATAAATATTTCTAGGCACAAAGTTCCCCAGATATTGTATCATAGGTTAAGTTACAGAATTTTGATGCATATTTATACTTTTATTAGTCCCTTTTGATAATGAATTGAGGTTTGAGAAATATTTTTTCATATATAAAAGAGTTATCTTGTATCCTTTCATGAGTGCTTTTGGAATTTATAACAGATTTTTCATATCACATTTTTTTAAAATTTAGATAAGTATGACCTTATCTCCCAATATTTTCATAAATTTATCTTATTTCATTTTTTATCTCTAGTTTTAAGAAAATTGGTTATTCTATAACACTGATTGAAGAGGCATATGTTTCATCTACTAGTGCATACACAGCTCCTTTTTGCACTCCCTGGAGTGCACAACTTTTAAGCCTTTTTGTTTTTTAAGGAATTTGTTTCCTTTCTAAGTGGCATTGCTTTCTTTAAAATATCAATTCATTTTTAGTTAGTGGCATTTAGTTTACTTAATTAGCTATGCCTTTACCACTTAAAATCCTATTTATTTCATATCTGAAAGACTTTTCCTCCATTTAAACATAACTTGGTTCTGTGATCTTTTATTGTCACCTCTTAGTGCAACTTCTGCTGGTAGAACTGAAGCTGTGGGGAAAATATATGCAACCTGGATAAAGATTCAGGGGCTGCTTGAAAACCAGCCTAACAAATAAAAAAGCAAATGATTTAGGAAGTGAACAAAATTACTTTAGTAATACATAAAGACAGAGAAAGTACCCAAGGATGGATAAGCATATTATTTGAGGTCTTTTTAAAAATACTGGTTTTTGAATGTTTTGTTTCCAGCCAAATCATTTAGAGCTCTCATTGCTCAATGCGCACATTCAGACCATAAACTCTCTTGACTCTGGTTTCATGTTCTCCAACCCTGGAAACACAGCCCAGCTTTGTAGGTAGATTCTGCACAGCAGAGGAATGTGACTCTGAGCAGAAACTAGCATACCTGACAATTATATTACACACCAAAAATTAATTTGCAGCATTAGAATTCTAGATATCTATCAGTTTTGGTGAGTCTAGTTAATGCAAGCCAAGCCCCAGAATCTGAGCATCACTGGATGAAGAATAAATTGACTTTCTAGCCAAAATCTAGTTGTTACTGCAGTATGATCATCCATCTAGGTACTCCTCGTTTCTCTTAAATATAAGATTATATTTAAGATACTCAATGACCAGTAATAGTCATGTTGGTACAGAATGATAGTTATTCATATCTGTCAATGACTTTGAACAGATAAGAAATAGTGGGTGCTATAGTATATAGGCAGGCATGGTCTAGCCTCCAGTAACTCAGGCTATGGAGGTAATAAGTACTGGTCACTAAATCACACAACTCCTCATTAATTGCAAAGGTGTAAAATGCCAACAACTGGATCCTAGCTGGGGTGGTCAAGAAACACCTCTCTGAAGAAGTAAGGTTTGGTGGAGATCTGAGAGTGGGACTTAAACTAAGTTAGACATTAAAAAGTCCAACATGGCTTGGATAGGGAATAAGTTAGAAAAGCACCCAGAGAAGATGAAACCTGGCTGTAGAAAGTCCTGTTGTGCTGAATAGGAGATTTAAGTGTTCATTCTGAGAACCACCAAAAGTGCAAAAAGAGAGGTATCACCTGATCTGCATTTAAAAAATCTTGTTCTAAGTTAGCAAGTTTTACGGAATATCAATTGGAGGGAAGCAAGAGTAGACACAGGAAAACAGGAGGTGACCACAGAAATTCTGGTAAGAGTTGATGGTAGCTCAGACAAGGCCAAAGTCAGTGACTATGGGGAGACAGGTTTGGGGAAAGAATGCCAGGATTTGATAATTTAGTGTGGTGATGCTGGAGAGGCCAATAGCAAGGCTGACCCCAAGGCCAGGGCTTGAATAGCTGGGTAGAAGACAAAGCTAGTCACTGGAGCAGAAGCAAATGAGTAACAAGAAGTAGAACAGCATGACAGATTTTTCCTAAGACTTTTTTCTCCTTCCATACTTATGCTCTCGTTTTCATAAATGACAGCTGTGCCCCTGAACTTGAGTGGGAAGTGGCTTCCAATGACAGTTGTCAATCTGATTCTGGCAAACTGTGCCTTTAATTTTAAAGAAGTAATTTACATGTTAAGGCTTAAAATAAATTACATATTGTTAATCTAGCTGTATACTACTAATAAAAAATCCATTTTAAAAACACAACCCCAAACTTAAGTGGAATCAATCTATACATTATTAAAGGGGCTTTTCACTGTGGCATAGTTTTTGAGCAGCCCATTAACCTGACACTGAAGTCCACTCACTCTCCACCCCATCTCCAGGGAGCTCCTGCCTCACCCCTCAGCACCTTAGAGGCTGGTTCTCATCTCACTGTCCCCTTCCCTTGAATGTCTATATCCCTTTTCTCCCTATACCCACTCCCCAGCCTGCCTCCTAGTCACCTTTGAAGCTCCTTCTCGGAATCCCTGTCTGTGGAAATCCTCTATTCTTTAGTAACCATCCAGGCTGGGTGGCTGTTGCTTTATTTTAATTCTGTTCAAACAATTATGGCCCACAGGCCTGTCTTCTCCTGCTGAACTCCAACCTCCTTATAATCCCAGGACATGGCATAGCACTGTACAAGAGTTGTTGCTTCGTACATGTTCAGCTGAACTGAACTCAGGTGGATCCCTCTGGCATATGTTTTTGGGCTGAACATTAGCCTGCTTCCCATTTCCATTGCAACTCTATCTCAGCACCCCTTACTTCAAAGCTGTGTCTTCGTGCACCTCCACACCCTCTGGCCCTCACTTCCCCACTTGGCAGGGAGTTCCAGGGGAACAAAAGGAGGGTGGAATTTTCATACTGAATCTTCCCATCACCCACTATGTAGCATCCTGCCTGTACCTCATACTTGGGAGATAAACAGTGAATGTTCATGACTATAAATTGTCATATGCCTGTGTGGCTGAGACTCCTGCTCTACTCCTCTTGGGCAAAATTATGCTGCCCCATTCTGAAGATGACTAATTTTGCCCAGTCACTGGGAATAATAGCACAGGTCAACCAAGACTCAACATTACAGCAGGCAACCTGTAAAGCTCTACTTCTTTTCTCTTGCCCCAACTAGAAACTGGTCCTTTCCCAGAAAGCCTTTTCTAAGAAAGACACTCACATTTTGAACCAAATTTGGG